CTGTCCTTTAACGAGGCTGGCTGCGAACTGCATGATGACGGCCTCCACGGTGTACGCGGACGCCCATCCCCGGGGGGTGAGGAGCTCCATGCATATAGCTCCGCCCTCCATCACGAAACCCTGAGGGGAGGGGGGGAGAAACATAACAGTGAGGGTGGAATACTGAACTTTCTCATATATATAATTTTATTGTATATAAATGAATAGATAAATAGATAAATGATAAATAAATAAATAAATAAGCATATATATATATATATATATATATATACCTTAATATATATACATATGTATATGTTTATATATATATATATATATATATATATATATATATATATATATATATATATATATATATATATATATATACATATATATATATATACCTTTATATATATACATACATATATATATATATATATATATATATATATATATATATATATATATATATATATACATATATATATATATATATATATATATATATATATATATATATATATATATATATATATATATGTATATATATATATGTTTATATATATATATATATATATATATATATATATATATATATATATATATATATATATATATATATATTTATGTATATATATACCTTATATATATGCATATATATATATATATATATATATATATATATATATATATATATATATATATATATATATATATATATATATGTATATATATATATATATATATATATATATATATATATATATATATATATATATATATATATATATATATATATATATACACACACACACAAATATACATATACATATACATATAGACATAATATCTGTGAGCGTGTATTCATATATGTATGTCTATCTGTCTATCTTTATATATACACATATGTATGGATATATACATATGTATATACATTTATTAATTTGTCTATTTAGTCAGTTATCAAGTTATTTCTATGTTTATCTATTTAATTACGCACTTTTCTGTTGGTTTATTTTCATATTTATAGGTGTACATAAGTAAATGTGCATATATATATATATATATATATATATATATATATATATATATATATATATATATATATATATATATATTTATATATATAAATAGATAGATAGATAGATAGATAGATAGATAGATAGATAGATAGATAGATAGATATAGATATGTGTGTGTATGTATGTATATATATACACACACACATATATATACTAAAGACAACCTTCGGAAGAAAATGTTGCGAAGAGGGAAACAGAAAGAAGGTGTGATAAACAAGGGGTAATGGGACAGGAAGGAGTATAATAGAGTTAGGGGGAAAATTGGTGGAAACGAGGGATATAATAGACTGCGATAATGAAGTACACAAAAGTAGTATAAAAGTCCGGAAAATATCCCTGTAAAAAAAGGAAAAAATGAAAAGGCAAAAGAGAGAGAGAGAGGGGATAAAAAAACGAGACAAAGGGAGGGGAGAGAGAATGGGGAATGTTGACAAGGGGAATAAAAGCAGAGAGAGTAAGAGGGGAAAAGGAGAAAGAAGGGGAGCAAAAGGACACGCACAAAAGGCGAAAGAGAGAGAGAGAGAGAGAGAGAGAGAGAGAGAGAGAGAGAGAGAGAGAGAGAGAGAGAGAGAGAGAGAGAGAGAGAGAGAGAGAGAAGGGGGAGGATGGAGGGAGGGGAGGGGGAGAGAGAGGGGGGGACTGACAGATAAAGGAGAGAAAGAGAGAGGAGGGGGGCAAACGAAAGAGAATAAGAGAGAGAATAGATAATTAGATAGAGATAGAGAGATAGATAGATAGATAGATAGATAGAGAGAGAGAGAGAGACAGAGAGAGAGAGAGAGGAGAGAGAGAGAGAGAGAGAGAAGAGACTGACAGACAAAGGAGAGAAGAAGAAAAAAAAAAGAAAAAACAACAACAAGAAAGACTGAATAGGAAGACCAAACAGCTGCCTTACCCTCTCTAACAATTACAAACCAAACAAATAAAACAAACTAGATCTCTAAGGCAAAGAAAAAAAACAAAAAACAAACACAAAAAATACACCACAGCACTTTCCTTCTGACGATTTCTTTTGTTAAACAGATTTGTGTGCGAGGGTGTGTATGTGTGTTCATGGGGGGGTGAGGGGGGGGTGGGGGGGGGTTAGAGGTTATGTGTAAGTGTCGGGGCGGGGGGGGGGGAGGTGGACGAGTGCCACGTGTGCTTATCGCTCTCTCCGTAATGAAGGTGACCTCGTTTTTGTATTTGGAAAAAAATGGAAAGTGAAAGAATGGAGGGGAAGGGAAGAAGAGGGAAACGGGGCGAGCGAAAGGATTTCTGGAGAAGTAAGACACAAACACACAAATATATATATATGTGTGTGTGTGTGTGTGTGTGTGTGTATGTATGTGTGTGTGTGTATGTGTGTGTGTGTGTGTGTGTGTGTGTGTGTGTGAGTGTGTGTGTGTGTGTGTGTGTGTGTGTGTGTGTGTGTGTGTGTGTGTGTGTGTGTGTGT